TCTCTCTCTCTCTCTCTCTCATTGTGTGCAATTTCTTGTGGTTTGCTGAATGTAACATTCTTGAGAGTCTAGACCAGTTTCAATTTCTGTTAGGATGTCCGTAGAAACTGTCACTTGAGGACCCGACATAGCCCCAGTCTCAAGGCACAGTCTCTCTGAGGTCTGGGCTGAATGCCGGAAGTGTTCAGCAGGCCTTTCCACTCTGGCTGATTGGAACTTCCGTGGCTCCCAGTGCACTTCGGCCTCTGGAATCTCCAGGAAGCTCAGGGGCCTCAGCAGATGCTCTCCGGCCGGCCTGCGTCTGGTTCTGCTAATGTACAGCCTGGTGTTAGAAGGAAGACTCCAGGGGCTTAGGCAACTTCTTGAGCCCCTGTGTGCAGCTACATTCTGCTGTGGTGTCCTGCCTCGCACATTCTAATCCGCAGTAGCCACACGGCTCCCTCTCAGACCGTCCACTCAGAAACAAAGTGCTCCTGTGTGGAGCTCCTCTGTGCTGCGTTTAGGGAGTGTCCCCAGGCAGAAAGCTAGGCTGAGTGTGACTTCACTCCATGTGTTTTCTTCCAGAGATAGATAGATAGATAAATGACAGAAGGATCAGTTGTATATCCACTCTTCTGTCATGGTTGCAACTGGATTTTAAATATGTATTTCACTGTTCTATGATTATCTGTGTGTGTTCCTTCCCCAGGGAAATGGCTGAGTCCAGCCATTTTTGCACCTTTGACACCTAACAATCCCCTTAAATTGTGCAGAGTAAATTATTTTTGAATGACTGAATTAATATTATATTTTTCATTTATAAAGTAGTAATTTAAATTTTATGTTACACTTGTTTAGAATTGCAATTATTTTATATAGTAAATGTATATGGTTATGTTATTTAAATGGCAGGTAACATTATATATATGTATATATAATACAAGATATATATGATTAAAGTGTATCCACACACACACACACACACACAAATCTTGTTAAGTTGGGAACACATACACATGGCTTAAAAAGCAGAAGTTTTAAAAAGTGAAGCAGTGAAAACTTAAGTCTCACTTGCTTCCTTATTTCCCAGACAACCAGTTCTGCTCTCCTGAGACAATGTTCCTCCAGTTCCTCCCCACCCCTCCTGGAAGGATCCTAGGAATTCACAAATATAAATACATTTGCATTTCCTGCTGCCCACGTTGTGGTATACTGATATTTCCCTCTACTTAAACTTACACAGGGACACTGGAGCTCTGCAGTCTGTGTGTGGATGCCCTGAATCTATGTCTGCTTCCATGGCAGACCACTGAGGCTCTCCCAGTTGCTTTCTAACACAAAATGCTATGAGGAGTCGCCTTGTTTGCTGCCATTTCACCCACACAAGCCTGTAAGCAGAAGCAGAATTCCAGCCCTGGGGCAGATTGGAAGTGCCTACCCACGCCATGCCTACCCACGCTGAGGGCAGATCCTTGCCCCCTGGGCCTCTCAGGCTCGCCTGCTGGCTGGCTTCTGGAAACACCCTCAGACACACCCCAGTAATGTTTGGCAGGTTCCTGAGTACCTCTTAATCCTGTCAAGGGGATCCTTAAGCTAACCACCACAGCAATCTGGGCAGTGGCATTCAAATGCCTGCATTGCTCGGCTGCTCTTATAACCAGGCCACCAGAGAGCAAAGGGAAGGCTGGCCTCAGACGCTCACACTCATCCATGACAGTCCATGTGAAAAGGCCGTAAAGCAGCCAGAGCAACGTGCAGCAGCCACATGTCACCAGAGAATAAAGGCTGACTTCCTCGTCTGGCTGTGATGGAGGAACCGGGTCCCGAGTCACCTCCCAGTCTTGAAAATTCAGTAAGATGGAAGAAAGAAAACAGAATGGTGTCCAGGCATTGGCCATCGGGTGGTGCAGGGCTGAGAGAGAGGAAGGAAGTGAAGGAGGCGAGCTGCCAGGAGGGGTTCCAGGCTGCTGTGCAGGGGGGAAGCAAGACAGGCGTGGTGGGCTCTGGAGTGGAGAGGAAGAGACCAGCTGGGAGGAGGCCAAAGTGGCCAGCACAGGTGGTGAGTCCTGGGAGAGCAGAGCCGCAGCGGGAGGCTCCTGGGAGCAGGGAGGAGGAGCTCGTCTAGCGATCCAGCTGGGGCGTCTGCAGAGTGATGAGTCTCAAAACGAGTGCCGCTTCACTTCGTTATATGTGCAGAAATCAACTTGAAGCAGGCCTCGCTTTAAATATAAGAGCAAAACTATAAAACTTCTAGAAAAAAAAACCACAGAAAAACATCTTTGCCATCTTGGGTTAGGTAAAGATTTCTTAAATATGACGTTTAAAGCATAACCCACACAATGAAAAGATTGGTAAATTAGACTCCTCCAAAGTCTTAAAATTGTGTTCTTCAAAAGCTGTTAAAGGACGATTTTTAGAAGATTTTATATAAAAACCGACAGGACCTGGAAATAGCCATCTTGGGAGGAAAATTTCTGGTCTTTAAATACTTTGATTATTAATGCAAAAAATTAAGGAAATTAAATATTTATTCCAGAAAATTAGAAAAGGAGGAACAAAATGAAGGACAGTAATAGAATAGCAGTAAAACCAAAATGTAATATTAAAAACCAGCAATCCAGAAGATGAAACAGACGTGCAGATAGGAACCGAGAGCACAGCAGAGACAGCCAGCTCAGTACCTTCCTGAGTTCTCAGTTCCACCCTTGCCCTGGGTTCTGGCCCTGATCAAATATACCATTGTGTTCTTAGCCAAATTTGCATTAATTTTTTTAATATATTTTTTTTTTAAAGAGAGAGTGAGAGAGGGAGAGACAGAGAGAATTTTAATATTTATTTTTTAGTTCTCGGCGGACACAACATCTTTGTTTGTATGTGGTGCTGAGGATCGAACCCGGGCGGCATGCATGCCAGGCAAGCGCGCTACCGCTTGAGCCACATCCCCAGCCCTGCATTAATTTTTAATATGTAAATAACCTTAATGATTTCGGCTTTTTAGTAAGTGAAAAGTGTAAGGCTGAAATATTTGATGACATAGACATATTAGACTTGAGTCAGTGTAAAGGTCTATGAATTCTCAAATACATGGCACGATTGAAATACAAAGAAAGGAGTATATATAAATATGTATGTACATATGAAGATATATACATGTGCGATACACAAAACTGACAAAGGTTTACCACAAAATTTTATAAATAGAAAGAAACACCTCTGCATAGTAAATAAACCAACACTATAAACAGAAAAAGTGTGGCAATAAATAAATACACTTGGAAATAAACACATTAAGATATGTTAGCTGCCCGTGATTTAGAGAACCTTACACATCAAGCTAGTCCTTGTCGCTTGGCTTCTGAAAGAGTAAAGGCTTGGGTGGTGCTTGGTGGCAGGGAGCCTGGAACATGAGGACTCCAGCGCAAAGTGCCGTTGGCCAGGCTTGAAACTAGATCTGACTTTCTTCTGTGCGTGCAGCGTGGACCTGGAGATTCTCCTGAGAACTATCCGGGGAAACACTTGTACATTGTCACTAGCTTGAAGAAGTAAGGGGTGTGGTGCCATCATGGGCAGAGCAGTGAGGAGTGGAGACCTACCAGCAGTCCCAGAAGGACTGTGTGGGAGCCGTGTGATGGCACCTGGCTGTGGACACAGAGGAGCTGCTGGCAGCTGGCTGAGGTTCTTTAAGGCAGATTATGAACTAGAACATGCAGTAGGACTCAACTTCAGTATAAATGTGTGTGTGGACGTAAAGACGTGGATGTGAAAGCCATGCCCAGCTGCGGGTAGGACAACTCTCCTGGGGTAAATCACTTGTTCTTTTTAAAAATTCTTGTCAGTCAGTCCTGTTGGAAATCCTTCTCGTAATGAGCATAGATAGTTTTTGTATTGTGATACCAAATTATTTTTATGCTGGTAGGAGGGCTAGAAGGAAGAAACTTGAAATTCCACTTTACTTCTTAAAACTGTAGTCAAAACAAGTAAAATTCAATGGAAAAAGAAAAAAACAGTTTTCTCCAAACTATGCAACGCTGTGAGGATGTAGCAGTGAAGTGGGCACCCTCGCTGTGTCGGGGAGGGGTGGGCAAATCGGTGCTTTCTCTAACAAGCAGCAAGCAACAGCTTCAGTCCAAATTCATGTATTTTAACTCACTTCCAGAAAACTAGCTAGGAGATAATTAGAGACGTGGACAAAAATTTATGCCTAGAATCTTCCTGTACTATTCTTTTTCAGTCAAATCGAAACAACATAAATGTCCACAATAGTGGAGTATATGTGTACCTAGCTCCAATAGTGCATTCAACCCATGTGTGCTGTGTCTCCTGGTGCTGCTCTTTGGGAGAGCCTGGGGTTCAGTGGTGTGCAGTGTACACGTGCCCACCTCCTACAGCAGTGTCCACCCTCACAGGAAAGACAGTGACCTCCCTCCACATGGGGCTGTCCAAGAAAAGTGCAGGATGCCGAGGTGCACAGATGATATTGCTGTACAACGACAGAAAGCCATGGGAAGATAAATGAGAAATATGCTGTGAACTTCTTTTTACCACCTCGAGAAATGGTGTGGGAGTTCCTCTGAGGGCCAGAAGTGACCTTTTAGAGACTATTAACCACTCAGCAGAGAGGACATGAGGGAAAAGCCCTGAGCGAGAGTGTTCTGAGCCGCCTGCACCAGAACACTAAAGCAAAGCCTCTCCAGTTATCACTTAAATAGCATGCAGACACCATCGAGTTTGGAAGAGGAAATCGGAAAGACACACCTCCCTGAGAAGGTGTAAAGGTAAGGAGGTGTGACCCCTCAGGACCTTTGACAAAGTCCTACCTAACCTCCTTAGGGTCCCTCTTGGGAGCAGTGGTAGGGAGAGATCACTCCCCCGTGAGCACTTCTCGAAGGAGTGGGGCTTTATGCTGGTGGCTGCTGGAGTCCCCAGCACTTTAGGGGTGAAGTGTTGTCTCATTACTTAGGAATTGCAATTCTGTCCTGACATGGCAGACTGAGCTGACTTCCACGGCATGACGAAGGACTATAAATTAATCGAATGACTGAGGAAGTCCTTGGAGACTGTGCTACCCCTGTTCATGCTGGTTGGCTGCAGCCATGGTAACCTCTTACTTCAGACCAAAGTCCGGGCTCTGCTGAGCTTTATGACCAGGCCCAGGGTTCAACGTCCAGCAGCACAACCTCCTTTGGGAGAGCGAGGTTTTCTATTCCACAGCAAATCATTGGACTCCATTTCTAACACTGGACTCCAAATGATAAGGTCCATAAATCTTATAAGCAGATCTTTATTCTTTTACCCTAGGGAAATTATTTTCCTGAAAAAATGCCGACTGCACAGAAAACCTTGATGTTCTTGTCTGGCTTTCTCACGAGCCTGGGGTCTGTCATTGTCATCTGCTCGATGCTGGGGACCCAAGCATGGGTCACCAGTACAGTTGGCATCACAGACTCCATCTCCAACGGCAGCGTCACCATCACCTATGGTCTTTTTCGTGGTAGGAGCACTCAAGAAATTGATCAAGGACTTGCAGAACCAGACAAAGACTTTGAAGGTAACGATGAGCTAATGTGAATGGTATAGTGAGTGTGAATTAAGATTCATGTCATTCTGTGTTTGGGCCAAGTAACCACTTGAAAATAACTGCCTTGTACGTGCTGAGTGAGGCTGAAGATCCAGCCTACTTCTTAATTTTGAGAATTCACTGTGTTGTTGTTTCTGCTTCCTGGGTTCTGGCTGTGTCTTTCATTGCAACAGTCTGTCATTCTAGCAGTGGCTGTGTGTGGATGGTGCCAAGTTTATTGTTAAGTCAACAATTAAGCAATGGTAATACTTCAGTAAATATATATAGGGACGCTCTGGTGTTTGATCGCCAGTAGGAACGGCATTTTAACTGAATTGATGATGGGTTTTAAGTTGGGCAACAACCTCTGTCCAGCACTTCCTAAATACCATGATAGGGAAAAAATAAAATGGAAAACATTCCACCTCTGTTCCTACTTCTCAGCTTTGTTTCTTCAATCAATTGGAATTTACATTCTTGTCTTCAAAATATCTTTTGTTGGAAATAACATTTAATTTCTACTGATTCTATTAATTGTGTATTTTATAGGAACCCCTATTTTTTCCTAATTTCTCATATAATAATGCCTTCCTCTCAGTAGGTTTAAAATTACATTTGTTGAGAATAAAAAGTTGATTTGGCTACTTTTGAAATTTGATAACTGCCTTTATGTTTTTAAAATTTTAGGACTACATTTGTAAATTGTATAACACAGAAGAGGACTTCATTTTTAAGAGTGATACATACAGATATTAAAGAGGCATTAGCAGTTAAAAGTTAATTTGCAACATTAACTTTTAGCTTTTAGATATTTGTCATTTTCAACCTTACACAAAGATAGTGTTTAGGTTCTGGCTCTAGTTCGCTTATGACTCTGTATGTGTGTGTGTGTGTGTGTGTGTGTGTGTGTGTGTGTGTGTTGCTGAGGACTGAACCCGGGGCCTTGAACATGTGAGGCAAGCCCTCTACCAACTGAGCTATATCCCCAGCCCTGCTTATGACTTTGTTAATGAAGTGATTAAGTCCAAAGCAATGTGGTTGTGTGTCCCAGTCACAGGCCTGTCTTCCAGGTGTTGTAAAAGTCCCCTCTCCCCTGGCATTCAGCAGCTTCCCAGAGGGAAGTTCAGATGTCAGTAATCCAGTCATATTTTCAGTTATGTGAGTACCATTTTCAAAATGAAAAGGGAAGTAGTTTCTGAATCTCTGGACACATAAAAAATTAAATAAGAGACAAAATCTACAAATGTTTGGTTTTTATATGATGCCTGTTTGGAACTAGTTGGTTCCAATTTGAGATCAATGATCCCAGTGGAAGCCCTGACTCTTGGCCACCAGGGAGGCCCAGAGGAGACCAAGGCAGGATGGGCCTGGGGCAGAGCCCTGGGAGCCATGCTGGGGGCAGAGTTGGGAGAGTCCCTAAGGGTCAGCCCCCCAGTGGGGAGCAGGAAGGGGAATATCTGCTTTTCCTTTGCCTGGCTCTCTTCCACTCTGTCCAGGGGTCTCCAGGAGCCTCCCAGTGTCACTGTCCCCCTGCCATGCTCTAGATGAACTGCCACCCAGTGGGTGAGGGTGCTGCACACTTGCCCTGCTGACATCTGAGGACCCTCACAGCCAGGGGGTCTTCGTCACAGATGACTGCCTTCATTACGGAAACTTTGACAATTCTCTCAGCTGGGAAGAAGTCTCCAGAAGACCTTCCTTGGTGTTCCACTGCTAACGGTGCCTGGTGCTTCCCAGAGAGCAGCACCACAGTCTCTATGTGAGACGCCACGGCCCCTCCACTGCTTGTCTTGGCTGCCTGGCGCTTATTTCAAATCAGAAGCCAATCAGCAGCAGCAAAATAAAATCTGTATCAACACCGATGTCCTGCTCTGGGGGCACAGACGTTCCACTGGAGAGGTTAACTTTGTCAGGTTAATGTTAGCTTCTTAGCTAATTCCAGCTCACACTGAAAACCCTTTAAGGAATAGTGATTATCACCAAGCTGTGCCACATTTCTGCATAGGATCTGTCAAAGTGTGCCAATTTGAGCTGCAGATTTTGATATTAAAGATGTCTGACTGCAGAGTGCCATAATAATTCAGCCCACAATAGGCAACTGATGGGGAAAATAACCAGTCAGACCAGGAAGGAAGTCCTCCATGGTGTAAGCTGGACTGTCCGGGAGGTCAGGTTGACTGGATGTGCCCTGGTTTGCCCAACATCCAGATGAGAAGTGACAGGTCCTTTAAGTGCAGACATGAACAGATCATCTTGCGACTCCAGAACTTTTGGATACCTCATTTCAGTCAAAAGACCTTCCTCGAGCAGTTGCCATACAGTGAGGCCTGGGATTCTGACAGGATTTGCACACAGCTCCTGGCTTGGAGGGCTCACCACCCAGGGCAGAAGAATTTAACTCAACCAGTTAAGTTCAACACCTGTTCTAACTGCAGGGCTGTGGTGAGTGCAGGTCTCCACAAAAGCAAGGAGTTGGGTGGGGGACATGGCTCTGCAGACTCCTTGGGGACAGAACCCCGAAAACCTGGAGGACAGGAGGACACAGGCTCACACTCATGGTCATGTGCCTTCTCCTTGGTTTGGATCTTGTGTGTTATGCAAACATAAAAAAAACTTAAGAAGTCATTTCTTTGACTTTGGTTTTTGACAATGTCCTTAGGGGTCAATGGGTGTGATGTATAATATTTCCTCACCCTGGCAACAATGACAAAGTGAGTCACACATGTAGAACATGGGGTCATTTCAGATGTCACCCAGCCTACACGCCGTCCAGGACATATATTTTTACAGAATCATTTTCACAGAAAAAGATTTATTCTTGGTCCCAAGAATGGTTTGAGCAGTAGGTCTGTGGCACTTTGAGCATTTGCATTGCAAGGACACTGAGCCGCTGAGGCTAGAGGTGGAATCACCTGGACGCTCACAAAGAAACCCTGCTTGACGGGGATCTCAGGGAGTCAGTCAGTCCCTGGTCTTCTGGTCTTAAGAATCCTTCCCAGATGCCCATGACCAAGCAATTCTAAGTCTGGTGATGACCGCAGCCTCGCCATGGCCAGATGCTAGGAGGGATGCTTACGTTGCCATGCTGGGCATTGCTTCAATCTCCAGTGCTTAAAGTTAAACTAGTTTATTGGGAATAGCTCTAGATGCAACCTTGGAAATGAACCCACATAGGCTGGAAGAAGGCATCAGGACCCACTGGCCCTCATGCTGCCCTTGAGTCAATGACCAAAGTACACTGTAGGAACGTCACCCCCATCTGGCCTCTCTGCCTGTCAGTCTCCACCAACCCCATTGTTCCCAGGAGGTCAACAAAGATAAAAATAACTAGGAATGGGTTGGGGCTGTAGCTCAGTGGTAGAGTGCCCCCCTTGAATGTGAGAGGCACTGGGTCTGATCCTCAGCACCACATAAAAATAAATAAAGATATAAAAAATAATTAGGAAAACAAATATGCTGCAAAAGCTGGTTGATTGCAAAGAGAAGAAGAAATGAAGTCGATGTCTACAGAACACATGCAGACATCTGCCTGCCACCCCACACACCTGTGCCCTCACACAGGGTCACTTCCCTGGAGAAGAGCTACTCCTCATTTGCCCTCAGAAATGTAACCATGCTGAAGTGGGGAGAGGCTAGGACACCGATGTCCTGCAGGGCTCAGCTGCCCTTCTCTCAAGACAGCCCTGGCAACTTTCCTAGAGGCGGGCACCAGAGGCCACCCACCACGAGGGGCTGAGTCATGCTCTGAGATCTGTTGGCATCTCGACCCCTTCCAGGGTTGCCCTCTTGTCCACAGATTCAGAAGATGCCCTGATCAGGCCCCTAGTGGCCAGTGTTTGAGAGGGAGGGGAGATCTGGTGTGCCCACCCACCTACCCGGCCACTGGCACTCCCCCCAGTGCCCAAGGACTTACAGAAAACCAGAAAGGCAGGTGAAGTGGGCCTGAAGGGGTTAACCCTCCCTGCGTAGGGAGCCGGATGTCCAGTGGCACTGGCTTTGTCCCTTGCTCCACCAGCCAGCAGCCCAGTCCTGCCTCCCAGCTGTGGGGCCTATGGGTTCCTGGCCTCTTTCCGGGGGTTGCCAGAATCAGGGCAATTAGTTCCAATTTTGAGGTGGCTTTCCTGATTCAATGCTTGCCCCTCAAAGAAAGGAAAAGAACGGCATGTGTTTGCTAATTCCATAGCAGAGAGCAGCTGTCAGATGCGGGAGGTTGGTTGCCATTCCACTCTTGCTAACTTTTGCTGCATTTTCTGCTTTCATTGTTTGAGTTCTGAGGCAGGAACTGGAAGGGAGACACAGCTGTCATACCTGGGTGGCAGGGAATTCAGGATGCTGAGGAACAATTTCACCATGCAGCAGTTAACATTAAGATGAACTGTCCCCTTAATACATGGGAAAGTAGGAGCCAACAGCTCCAAGTTGACTCTTTTGAAGATCACGTCTACCAATTCCTACCAAAACTCAAAGAAAAGAGCTGCCCCTACTGTCACTTCCTGATTTACGCTGAAAAAATGGAATGTTAACCATTTATGAATGAACATTTACTGCTTTTTATTAAGTGTGCAAAGCAGAAAAATACTTCAGGGCACCTCGAGTGTCTGGGACATAAGATATGTTTTTCACACTGAAGCTTCTGTTTTATATTGAGTGTTCAAATTATTTCTTTGGCTCTCAAACTTTGCCAAAGAGAGGGCTCCTATGTCTCTTCCACCTTCTGGTGGGATCCCCAAGTTTTCCCTCGAGAAAGCTGCTTTGCATGGAATGGGAAGTGACCCCACCTTAACAGAGATGAGGCACTAACACACGAAGGGCCTGACCTGTACCTCTGGCTAGGTGTGACTGCCTTGCTCTTCCTGCTCCTCCTCTGAGGTCACTTTCCTCTCGTTTCACAACAGGTGACAGGTGCATGCTAAGCTAGAACAAACACGACATCCCATGAAAAGTGGGAGAAAGAGGCAAGAGACTCAGCTAAGGTCAGGGACAGGTGTAGCCCTGCCCAGGTGGCCCCTAGCCCTGAGCCTGGCCCCTCAGACCTGCCCACCTGGCTCCACCACAGGGGGTCATGGCCTGACTGCACTCTAAGTCTGACCCATTCTTAGAGCCCTTGCTTAAGTGCAGGGCAGAGAATGTGGTGCTGAGGATCTTACCATCCGTGACAGGGATCACCATGGGAAAGCACAGAGCAGCGCCCTCATGGTGGAGGACAGGGTGGTGGGAGTGTCCCTGTGAGCTGAACTTAGCTCCCAGGCCCAGCTGGGGAGTGAAGTGCTCTGTAGCCCAGGATGGTGAGGTCATTGTCCACGTCAGCTCTGCTCCCTTCTCCCTGGGTTCACAAGGGACATGTGGCCGTGGGCAACACCCAGGATCCCTGCCTCCCTTTCCCCTCTGACTCTCTTTCCTGCCCTTTCTCACATCCATGTCTCCCTCTCCTTTCTGCCGGTGTCTCCTGTTACTGCTCACCGCCGCTCTCTGTCTACAGCAGCTCCTTGCTCGGGGCTCAGCCACAGAGGACCAGGACACCCGCCCCTGGGGCTTCCTTCTCTCTTCCCAGGAGGGTCTTTACAGTAATATTGCTCTGCCACCCGCCTCCGAGGGCCTGTCTCAGATACCCAGCTGCGGACTTGCTGGCCACAGCTCTCTTATGCCCACTGTCTGCCCAGTGGGAGGAAACTTGCCTCCCTCACAGGGCACTGCTGATTAAAAAGCAAAAATTATATATATAAAAGGTGATCAAACGGACTGTCCAAACTAGTTTAAGATGTCCCAAACTAGGGTGAGGACATGCTCCTGCCCAAGAAGAATGCCCGATCTGTTGTCGTCAGCACGCCCTGAACAACAGTGGGCGTGAAGTGTGTGCAGAGGGACACTGACAAAGCCCCTCCAGGAGGTGGCTGTCGATGACGTCAGTGCTCACCCCTCCTCAAACACTTGGGGGGGGCAGCCAGGCAGGAGGGGGCAGTGCACCCTTGTTTTCATGTGGACAATCTGGGCTCCTGGGCAAAGCTGTGGGGAAGCAGATTTGGGCTCAACACAATGAAGAATTTTCAGTAATTGAGGCAGTGCAGGGGAGGACATTGTAGAGAGAGGATGTCCCCTCTGGAGGCTGGAACAGGTTCCAGCAGCCCCTCCCTGGAGCCCTAGGCATACGCAGCCCTGGAAACAGGAACCTTACCTAGCCTGGCTTCTCTCTCTTCTCTAAAGCTGTGCTGAGCTACAGGTGTGAGAGTCTCCAGGCTCTCTCCACGGGGCCCTGGGGAGCCCGGAGGGAAGGAGGATTTACTTGCCACCCACCCTGCCCCCAGCTCTGGTATCTGGCAATTCCCTGTGGTTTTCTTAGTGTGTTGCTCTCAGCTCTGAAATCTGTCCCAAGTCATTTTTTCCTTATGACTTCCTGTAACACTGAATTTAAAGAGGGGTCATCTGCTCAGGGAAGGAGGGGATGAGTGACTGGGCGTGTGGTGTGGGCTGCCCAGTCGGTCGCTTGGGTCATAGCAAAGAGGCAGCTGGAGGAGACCGAGGCCAGGGAGGATGGCTGCTGGTGGTCAGAAGCTGTGAAGACCCTGTGGTGCATGGCCCAGGGGTCTTTTCCTGTACAAGTCCACACCTGGGGTCCCTGTGCACCCAGGATAGATGCAGCTAGGAGGGGTCTTGGAGAGATACGAAGGTTTACCCAGGGGCCTGACTCCCAGCCTCCTCCAGCGTTGGAGCCCCGTGGCCTTCAGGCCTCTCCGGCTCCAGGGTACTGGAGTCTGGGCCCAGGGCCAACAAGCACGCTGGTTTGTGCCTGCAGGCGTCCTTCCTGCCTCCACTGCTAGCCTGGGCTCCCTCCCCCCGGTGCCCTCCATTCCTCCTTCCTCCCAGCCTTCCCTCTCACTGGATTTCCTGCAAAGCCACAAGGTGTATGGGGACCTGGCTGCACACAGGTGTGACCAACCCTTAAGTATCTTCAAAAGAAAGCAGGGGCAGTGCTTAGAACCCAAGGTGTGCTCGTGATGAAAGTGCCACAAATCCCGCTGCAGGAATGTGAGGCCAGCATCAGTGACGGAAGGTCGCAGGTATTCAGGACACTGCCAAGGAACTTAAGAATCGGGAGAAATGTCCAGTTATCTGCAGTCAAGCACGGAGAAAACAACTGGCATTCAGGGAGGAATGTGGTCTTGTTTATACAGGACTGAAAGTGCATAGCTATTCTGACATCTGACGGTCACCAGCCCAAATACCTGCGGTGGGGGGAGGTGGAGGAGCGCCCGGCTGGCCGGCTTCTGCCCTCTATGCTCTGCACTCACCAAACATTGTTTTAGTTTTAGGGATATTGAACAATTCTTCCCAAAAAACTCTGCATTTGGTGGCCATCCTGTTCCTGGTCCTCAGCTTGTCCACTGCGCTGCTGAGTTCGGGCTTTACCTTCTACAACAGCATCAGCAACCCCTACCAGACGTTCCTGGGCCCGACAGGGGTGTACACCTGGAATGGACTTGGTGGTGAGTATCCCCAGAAGTCTCTGCGCTCCACGGGAAACCGCACCCTTCTAGTCTCCATCTCAGCCTCTCTCTGTCACACACATGGACACACAGGTCACACGGTGGTGACAGGAGTTAGTGGGTCTGTGGTGGGGTACTTATAGCACCTCTGGATGTAGAATTCTGTTTCCAATGCTCTGTCAAATAGCAAGAGAGGAGGTGAAGAGAGGGTGTGACAACGGCAACGTGAGCCACCTTTGCTCTTGAGAATCTCACCTTGAGTCACATACAGCACACTTAAGTCAAGAGAGCACTCACTGCGCTCCTGCTGTGTGTCAACTCCAAACCAGGCTCCATGCGATGTGCAGAAGTATATGCATGCCATAAATACCATTGCATATACACAAGCACATGTGCACACATGTATGTATATGTACACACGCACACACGTGTGCGCGCACACACACTTACACACACACTTATTTACTCCCCTCTGGCCTCCACTTAACCAGTCAACTTGGGCTCCTGAGATGACACATTTGTGTCGTTGTACCACTGAGCCAACATGGTGTCATTTAGGAGCCTCTGGGCCATGCCCCCCTTGCAGGCTACCTGAGTCCTGGGCTGCTGTGGTGTTGCCAGGAGGTTTGGTCTGCTTCATGGTCGGGTGTGGGATGGCAGAGGGAGCCCAGATGGGAAGTGGGTCCTGGCTCTGCCTCATGGTATTTTGGACTCTTGCCCCTGCCAGACAGCAGGTTCCTCTGCTACCTTCCTCTGTCCTCCAGCAGAACTGGGCTAGGGAGCAAAGGTCATCCCCCAGGGGGACCAAAGGGGGCTTCGGGGTGCATCTTGACATGGGCCAGAGACCCAAGCATAAGAAAGATGCTCTGGATATTGAGGTGTCTGGAAGCCTCAGAGGAGAACCCTGGGCAGCTTCCTCCTGTCCTTCTGTGGAAGGCCATCTTACCACTGCCTGGCATAGGTGGCTGGAAGGCGCTCATGTCTCCGTGCCTTGGCTACACCAGAAATGAGAGGAGAGAAAAGCTCTTCCTGTGCAGGTTGGCATGGTTGGCACACCTACTGAGGACACTGAAGTTCCCACTGGAGGTCCCTGGACCAGGGGTCCATACCACCAGTCAGCCCCAGCACAGTGCAGGTGGCAGGAAGAGGGATAAAGCTTCTGGGGACTTCTAAGCAGTAAGCCAGGATGATAGGGGCTACCTGTCCAGGAAGACTAGGGCACGTGGTCACATGACAGGCTAGCCTCAGCTCCGAGCTCTCTGGTCAGGCTGGCCTGGCAACATCCAAACACAACTGGCTCTTTCCTTCTGTGCTGTGGTTACCTAGGGGTCAAAACAAGCCCCCAGCTTCGGGGTGCACACTTGGGGCCAGGGACAGCAGCCTGCAGAATGGTCATCACTGTGGCCTCTCAGAGGGGGCTGAGCACCAAAAGGGAAAGGACTTGGTGCAAACCTAGACATACGCACCTGAAGCCAGGGCCCGGCCCCAGCTGCTGCTGTGACTATAGCTCGCCTCAGCCAGCCGAGCTAGGCAAACCCCTGGACCTCCTCACTGGGGAAAGGGAACGCACTTTTATTCCTCCTCAAGCAGCTGAGAATCTTAGGGAAACAGAGGCTTTGGCAAGGCTGGGTTCGGGTCTCAGCCTGAGTCCTCAGAGTGCTGTCCGTCCCCTTTACCCCCTCTGATTTCCAGCATTTGCTCAGTCCTGGCACAGCCAGCTCTGCTCTCGCAAGGGTCAGGTGGCTCTGGCAGCAGCACCTCACGAGGAAGACTTATGGGTTCCCAATGGTCAAGAGGGTATCCTGGGCCCAGAGAGGCCAGCCTCTGTAGCCAGCAGGGTTGAATTCACGTAAGTGTTCATCAACTGGCCAAGGACACCCGACTCTGGAGCTGGGGCCGGGATGGGCCCTTCTCCAGCCCCAGGGGCACATGGGGGAGGACCAGTGGGTTCCTGGAGGAGAAGCAGGAGTGGGTGCCCAGTGGAGATGCTGTGGCCACACTTGGGCGTCGCACTGTAGGCCTGGCAGCCTGCTTCCCCAAGGCTGCAGCCCCTGGTGCCCTCGCCTCCTCAGCTGGGCACAAGCTGACTTTGCACATGTCAGAGGCCCCATGTGTGTTTGTAGAGGAAACATGGAAATAGGAGTGGAGAGCTTCCCCTCAGTCCCGCTCACTTCTTCTATCTCTAGGGACTTCACACACACACACACACACACACACACACACACACACACACACACACACACAGGCTGCGAGGCGGGTGGGAAGACGGTCTGAGATTGATGTGTAAGGAGCTGAAATGCATCTGACAGGAGCTGGAGGAGACCTGGCCAGCTATGGCTCTTCTAAATGCCCTGTGCAGACGTGGGGTCCCAACGCCTCCTCGGCCAGACTTTGCCCTCAGTTTGCCCTCTGGGGACTACTGACATTTTTTCCCCGCTTGCAGGATTGCAGAATTTAGCAATAACTCTCAGTTTGCAGGAGGCCGAGTCTGCAGGAGGGCCTGTGTACAGAGACTTCACCAGGCACCTTGGCCTTGGGTCGCTGTGGGCCCGAGTCAGTCACCTCTGTGCCCTGGGGCCAGAGGGGAACACTGCAAACCCCTGGAGGCTGGGTTTGTGCACATTCTCCTGGGCTGGCCTATGGTGGCAGGGTCCGGCAGGGCAGAGGAGGAAGTGGGTTTCTTTCTTGTTTCTGATGGAGAGAAGCAGGAGCGCCATCTCCATAGCCTGATGCCCTGAGACCCAAGACCCTCTCTGCAGCACACTAGCCTGGTGTGGCCGGGCACTGGCCACACAGGGAAGAGCCGCACACTCAGAGAAGGTTGGAGCCAGAGACACTCACAGACTGGTTGCTTCAAATACATTTATGCCTCAACCAGGGAGCCCAGGAAGCAACTAAACAGGTCATATGACCTAGGGTGACAGGCCAGGACAGAAGCCTGAGTCCCTGAGCCTTCAGGAGCTCGGCATCAACCCTGGGGCTTCCTCTAGCTCCAGTAAATTCTTCTGTCCCAGATAGCTGGAGATGCCAGGCAGCCGGAGGCTGCGGTGGAGCCCAGGGCTCCCGGCATCTCACCTCCAGAGGGACTCGGGTCAGCCCTGAGTCGGTTGGCTGCTCCTCCTCTGCAGATCAAAGGTCTAGACAGGCACGGAGCATCCTCCCCTGCATGATTCAGCCCTCTGAGGAACTTCACAAGGGGAAAATGAGGGGCAATTAAGGCAGGTGAGGCCGGGGAGCATCAGAGGACTGGGCTTTTGTTCACACAAATAATTAAGAAATAAAGCCATTGTTTGAGGGTGAAGCCTGTCATCAGGGACTGTTAAAATGCTCCCCGCGCACAAACCTCTCTAATCAGGGCCTTTTGGAGACCATTTGGGACACCTCCCTGCGTGTGGGGCACGCCAGGACGGGTCTGACGCCAGGTGTCCACTGCACTCTGCATGTTGCCTGGGTCAGCAGATAGAGGATCCTGGGGATCCCCCTGGTGGCCACATCTCAGTCAGACCCTGCCTGGGCCAGGCTCCCCTGCCTTGCCACGGGCCTGAGAGTCTGCACCCTCCCTGCAAACCTTCTCAGCAGCAGCGTGGTTGAGAAATGAGTCACATGCATGTCGTTTGCCCACCTTCAGCCCACCACTGGACGGGTTTCATTATGTCCTCAGACGTGTGAGGCCACTGCTAAAGGGCTGCTTTTTGAGTCTTGAGTGGATGTGGAAAGACGAGCTCTGAATCTCTCTGTGTGGCCACAGCATCTCCACTGGGCACCCACTCCTGCTTTACCACATCAACTTGAGACTCAAAAAGAAGCCCTTTGGCAGTGGCCTCCTGCCATCAGGAAGCAACCATGGGTCTGTATTTTTGTCCATCCTTCCTGGTTAAAGGCCAAAACCACTGAGTCGTGCGGAATGAAATTCAAGCCCCTGAGCCGGCTGAGGCTGTGCCAGGGGTCCTGTCTCCACCCCAGTGCTCAGGACCTGCTGACCTCTGCCATCACAGTCCAGGATGTGGGGGCTCGCTGCCCACCTGTCTTTGCTGCTCCTGTCACCTGCCACGCTGCTCTTCCCTTAACCTTTCCCAGTCCTGTCCACCCTCCAGACCCCTCTAGACTCCTGCCCTACTCGCACTGCATGCTGTCACCCATCTGCTGGTGCACTGGGTCTGAGGAAGCACGTCACCTGGTAGACCAGGGGCAACTGCTGCCGGAAGGACTAGAGCTGGAGTATCTGCTCCTGGGCAGACCCAGCCTGGCACACCCCCAGCACTTTGTGCCTAGAACCTAGTTTGTGTCTTATATTTAAAAAATATTCTCCCCAAATACTTGAAAGAGTGTAAACTCAATAAACACCCTTAGAGTGTGTGTCTCTAAATAAAATACAACACAGGGCTGGGGATGTGGCTCAGTGGTCGAGTGCCCCTGAGCTCAATCTCCCGTACCCCCTCCCCCCAAATGACAAAACAGGAGCGTGTCATCGTGTCATTAGGAGCTTTGTTCTCTTCCCAGCATCCTTCATTCTCCTGACCATGCTGCTGTTTGTGGGGAACACACAGTCCAACCGTCTCTCCGGGGAACTGCTGGAGCAGCTTTACCCAACAGTCACTAGTGGAGGAACGACCCACAGCTACGGGTACTCATTTTGGCTCATCCTGCTGGTCATTCTTCTCGATATCGTCACCGTGGTCATCATCATTTTCTACCAGAAGGCCAGATACCAGCAGAAGCAGGAGCAGAGAAAGCCCATGGAGTATGCTCCCAGAGACGGGATTTTATTCTGAGTTCTACTTGGGGTCACTTTGGCGTTGCGTCTGTTTGGTGGACGTCAGCTCCCCAAGCAGTGGCAGGCTTTGGACCATCAGTATGGAAAGATGACTGCCATCTGTGATGACTTTTCTCTCCCCGGACACCGTGTTCTTCACAGAGACCATCGCCTGGGAAGGGGTGGGGAGGAGGAGTGGGGAGGCCGTGTCTAGGCAGTGCTCACTGCTGCGGAGGGTCAGGAGCCGGTGGCCTTCCCACCATTTGAAACAGGAAAGGTCCCACACCTTCCCTCTGACTGGCCAGGAGCACTCTAGCACCTGTCACCTGCTGTCTGCAGGAGCAGGCAGGTGTTTTCATTCTGCTCTAAGAATAAAGACTTCCAGGTACAGAGAGATTCAGAGCTTGTCTTTCCACATCAGGAGTGGGCGGTAAAAGGACTCAAGAGGAAGTGACCTGGGTTTCTGGTTCCTCAGTCGCTGGGTTTAACCCAAACCCAGGGGTGAGTCGATAAGTGATCCTGAAACCTATTCTTGAGGTTCCAAGGTGTGGTTTTGGGTGGGAAGAGATTAGAAGTGAAAGCAGGGACAAATAAAAATTATAGCCTTTATTCTTTTTGTTAAAGAGGATAAGTATTATAATTTTGGTTTAATGGGATCGTGGTAAATTCAGTCAAAATAGAAATGAAATATCTGGGCAAGTTATACTACCACCCCATGAACCAACCCTCTGCTTATTACTATGGGCAGACATAAGCGTGCTGGGCAGACGGGGGTACTGCCCATCAGCACTCTCCTGCCCAGCCGGAAGCCGAGGGAGAAGCAGGTCAGAGCCTGTGGCTTGCAGTTCCCTGGGCAAAGGACCAGGGTCCACCCGGAGCTCAGGGGCTGGGGAAACCCTCCAAGAGCAGGTGGGCGGAACTGGTTTGTAGTTTCCCAAGAAGACAGTTGGGCAACCAGGAATAGAGAACTCAGTCACCCACCTGCCAGTTAGGGTAACTTCCCAGGAAACCACCTGAGCCTGCCTATTCCCCAGGCTGGCCGGGTTGGCCGCCGACAGGGCTGTGAGCCTGGCTGCACCAGGGCCGAGGAGAGCAGGTTCGCCGCTCTCGACAGAGGACCCACCCTTCACCAGGCTCTCTGGGTGAACAGCCTCCTCTGATCATCTTCAGGGTCTGTCTCACAAACATGCCCTGGGCACCTGGGATGAGGCTGGCACTGGGCTAACCTGAGCATGTGCCCTGTGGGGTCCCTGTCCAGCACTTAAGACCGAGGCCAAAAAGCCACGGCTCGATTCCACTTAAAATACGTCCTCAGTCACAGTGTTGTGCTTGTTCTTTGAAACGTCACTTCTCTCTAACCCCTACCCTAAAGTCCTACCAACTCAAAGTTACTCTAATCTGTTAACCAATGATAAAATTTGGAACATATTTTTAAAAATCTCTTCTTCAACTTAAAATGTTCTCAATTCTTCAGGCCCAGAAGCATTTGAATTCCTCGAAGGTTTGGGTTTTATATCAGGTTTTGATGACATAGACAGGAGGTGAAGAGGAAAGAGTCACAGGTGACAAGGTCCTGCAAATGACCGCCCAGTAGGCAGGCCCTTGTGTCTCGTGCCCGTGCCTGCCCTGCTGGGCAGGGGAAAGTGCACTGCACTTACTAATCTAGGACGGGAACAGAGCTTGGTCTCCTTGGGGAGAAATTGTCCTGATCCTCGAATTCCCGACCTTTGGAACCATTTAAACCCAGGAATAATGTGAATGGAACTCAGTCGTCAAAGGCTGGCCTCGTGACAACTGAGGGTGCTGTAGCTCTCTAGGTCTAGTCCTTCTCCCGGCCCAGGATGAAGCAACCAGCTCCCAGCACCTGGACACAAGTGTGGGCTCCACTGTCTACACCTGGCGTCTCAGAGCCAGCTGTGAGAGCGAGGTCCTGCCTCCTGGCTTCTCCTGCTTATGACTAAAAACGAACAAGTAACAGGATGATCTTTGGGATTACGTAGGAAGTCCTGAAGTCATGCTGCCTGTGGTCTGCCATTGACTCTGAGAAGCCTCACTTGATTGGTCAGTGAGAGAGGACAGCAAGGGCAAGCCTAGCTTCCTGGATATGGTGAGCCTGGGCCCCCAGGGCATGTGCCCAGGTGGTTGGCAGCCCTCCTCTTCTTCGCAGAGCTGCAAGTCTCTAGCTCAGGGTGAAAGGGTGAGGGTGGGCCCCTGCTGCACCCTTAGCTACTGCAAGTCACATTAATCCTCTTGTTCTGGAGGAGACACGTAATAAATAGGCAACTGAAGCAGGGCGGTTAATAGGTTGCCAAGCACCCAAGGCGGGCAAGTGGCAGAGCAGGACCCCAAGCAAGGCCCTTTACCTGCACTGACCCAGGTCCATAAATGCTGTGTGCAGCAGACCAAGGGAAGGGCTGCGGTGTCACCAGGAATGGAACCATGAGAGGTTCCGCCCCCAGCACTCCCTGAACAGGACAGGTGGCGTCCCCTGTGGGCCCCAAGGACCTCAGCCCAGTCATCCTACCCCATTTGGGGCTCCCATTCCTCCAGATCCAGGAGGCTCGGACTGATAAGGCAAAGGCGCCCACTGGTTTCCAGTCAGGCTTCAGGTGGACTTGGCTGCTAACCAGAGCAGAGGAGCTCTCCCCACGGGCCTGCTGCTCCCTGAGGAAAGGACTTTGTCATTCTTAAAGCAGAAAGATGGGGCCCAGGTGACTGATGGGAGCTGGGGCACTGGCTTATCAAACCTGCCCTGGAGGGAGAACAGAGATGTGGGGCCGTCAGTGGAACTTGAAATGCCCTGCAGGCTGGCCCTGGAGGAGCTGGGGCTAGGCAGGAGCACCGGGCTCCGCCCCTCCTCCTTGGGGCTTCCTGCTTTGTGTCCTCCTGCTGCCCAAAGACGCTGAACCAGAATTACAGCATCAGTTAGCTTAAAAAAAAAAAAAAAGAGGATTTGTATCTGTATCTCACTTCAGGCTGTGAAAGTTTCATTTTCAAAATGCTTAATTGTTTAGTAAAAAAGAAAAACGGATGTAGAAGTGCATCACGTTTCATAATGGTTCATTTTAAATAAGTTTCTTTAAAACAAGAGCAGCCCTCCTGCTTCAGATCCCTTCCTGCCAACAGAAGGGTAGACTTGTAACTTTTTTTTTGCATTTTATTATCATTATTATTATTATTAGATTTTATGGTTATACATAGTAGTTGGATAGACTTCTAAATTTTTAACCTTGGCCCTGGTAGAAAGACCACTCCCCTGGCTCTCTGGAAGCTCACCCACTCCAACCAAACACTGGGTCGCTGTCCATCAGTGTTCTTACAGGGGCCACGTGGCTGGGGCCAAAATCCTGACAGGCCCTGGATGTGTCTGAGAAGGCTATCAAAGACTAGTTCAGGTCCAACAGAGGACTTTGGCCGCCATCAGTTACCTCCAAGCACATGCTATTCTGAGTGACTACGTGTGCTGGATTCTTGCAGGTAAACATTCACCCTTTGATTAAAAACATAACCAGCTGCACTAGACCCTGAAAACTGCATATTCTCTTCCCTGGCTTCCTAAGTGGTCCGTGGATTTAAAATGGTCCGCCCTCTTTCTGAGGACGGCATTACAATCCAACCAGGAATCCCTATCTGGTGGCTGTTGGTGTAGAGAAGAGAGTGTGCACTGTCAAGAGACCAAAGCCCAGTGACAAACAGGGGAAGAAATGTTCTTGGACCACTTGCTGCATGTGAGACAGAGAGGCAGGGGCCAGGGTCCCAGCAGTGTGTGTCATTGACACAGGGCTCGTGGAGCAGCTGGTCAGAAGATGCTGAATCCACACAGCAAGGTCATGTGGAAGTAGATTCCCAGGAGCTGCGGGGCATCTCCAAGGAAATCTAGACCACTGGGGACAACTTCCTGGAGACAGAGGTGACCTGAGCTCTACCACAGACTCTGTGACCTAGGCAAGGCCTGAAACCAACCTTAGAAATGATCCAAAATAACCACTCGTCACACAGAAGTAGAGGAAACCCGTAATCACCTTCATCTATTTCCTCACTTGAAAAATAAAACCAATAAAAGGGTCAGAGATTTAGGAAACTCAAAAGTTTTCTTTCTTTTTAATTTCATTGAGTTTGTTTTTCAGAAACACTTACATAAACACCAGACGTGACAGTCAGTTTCCAAACACACAGGTGTAGGGAGTCAATGTCTTCTAGGAGCCCGCCCTCCAAGCTCTGCTTTGTGGGTGCTGCTACTTCATGACTGACACCACAGGCCCGTGACATGGACGTGCCTGGTGTGTCACGGTGTGGAAACATGCCTTTTCATGTTACCTAACAGAATCCAGGTGGCGAGTGAGTGCAGATGGTCATGGGGGCCTTTCAATAGGATGTGAAAACTCCATTCCCTGATGCAGAACAGGAGTCCTTTAATAAGGAGCTCTTGGTTTCCAGACTTCGCCTGTGTCCTTCACTTACTCAAGTCCTAATCCCCCGTGGCAGTGTATTTGGAGATGGGCAAACTAGGTTAAATGAAGTCATGAGTGTGGCTCCAACACAGCGGGGCCAGTGTCATTGTGGAGAGACACCAGGGGCCTGGAGTCACAAAGGAAAGGCCACAGGTGAGCGGAGTGGGAAGCAGCCACCTGCAAGCCAGAGAGAAGCTCCAGAAAAACCATCCCGCCATCACCTTGACCTTGGACTCTGAGCCTTCAGAACAGCGAGAAGACGAATGCTGTAAGGTCTCCACTCTGTGCGTTTGCCAGTGGTGACCCTGATGGACCAACACACCCGCGGCCACTCCGTGGGCACTCCGTGGGCACTCCGGCAGCCGCTCCGGATCTGGGCTCTCCCAGGCTCTGTGCTGAGAATCCCAACACTCCCTGCGGTACACGCAGACTCTCTACAAATTTTATGGCTGTATTCTGACGCAGGGCGACTGGTGCCAACCAGGCAACAAAACACTACCTCCAGGGTCCTGTTTCTCCCCTGTAGAGCTGTCCAGCTTAAGGCTGCTGTGAAGACCCTGCAGTCATGAACTTGCTCAGCCAAATAAAACCTCCTAGAGAATGGTGACAGCCAGGTAGAGGAAGGCATTGCCTTTTTAAAAAATGATTTTGTTTGTTTTTGGAGCAGTTTTGGGGTCATCGAAAAACTAAGAGGAAGGAACAGAGATTCCCCATGTACTCCCTGGGCCCACACAGCTTCCCCCACCATCGACGTTCCCCACCGGGACAGCACATTTGTGACAGTGATGAACCTACACAGTAGTCACACTCACTGAAGCTCCGGGTTCACCTTAGGGTCCATGTTTCGTTTTTTTTTTCAGAGGGTCTCAGTCTGGTTGCATTTAAGTCTCTCCAAAGCTCCAGACCAGGGCTGGGGATGTGGCTCAAGCGGTAGTGCGCTTGC